GCAGCACCCTGTTCCTTGTCCCAGCACCCTGCCAGTCACCCTAGTGCCCAGCAGGACCATGTCCCTGACCCCAGCACCCTGCCACCTGAGCCAGCATCCTTCCACCCAGCAGCACCCTCTCCCCAGCCCCAGCACCCACTAGCACTCTGTCCCCTACCCCCACCAGCACATTTGGGACCACATTACTGAGGCTTGGGGTTTTTTGGAGGAGGTTTTTTTGCATCTCACTTGTATAGCCCCAACTGACTTTTCTGTGGGGTCAGTGACCCCCCAGCACCCTGCCACCTGAGCCAGCATCCTTCCACCCAGCAGCACCCTCTCCCCAGCCCCAGCACCCACTAGCACTCTGTCCCCTACCCCCACCAGCACATTTGGGACCACATTACTGAGGCTTGGGGTTTTTTGGAGGAGGTTTTTTTGCATCTCACTTGTATAGCCCCAACTGACTTTTCTGTGGGGTCAGTGACCTTTGACTCAAAACAGGTTCCTCACCCCTCTCACATATAAAGACAATGCTAAAACCTTTGGAGTTTGACATATTTTATTTAAAAATGAAGCCAGGCCAACAAGACCCCACCGTAACCCTCTGTCCTGAGCCTCTTACATCCACAAACTCCTGCATCCCCACATCCTCAGTCTCCTGCCACAACATTCCTGCACCATCCACACATCACAAATCTGTGTCCTGAGCCCATCATACTCCCAGCGTGCTTGCTCTGAGCCCCTCACATATCCAGCCCAAACTCCTGCACCCTCACATCCACAATCCCTGGCTTGCTCAGCACCCCAACCTTCCACCTGAGCTCAACACTCCCCAGCCTAGAGCCCCCTCCCTGAGCCAACAGCCCCTTCTCCTGCATCCAAATTCCCTCCCAGAGCTTGTACGTCTCACACCCAAATTCCTCATTCCCACCCCACACCTCACTTTCACTAGGTTGAGACAGGTATAAGCGCTGGGGATAGCAAGTAATGGAGAGGAGGGGTACAGAGTAGATAGGCCTCACAGAAGGGAGATGGGTAAGGGAACTTGGGGAAGAAATGTGATTTTCATGAATTGGTGGGTCTCTCTCTCCTCCCCCACCTTTTTTTCTTTCTTTTTTTTTTTTTGCTTGACAAGCCTAGGGGTTCCTTGAAATTCTGAAAAGCTGAAAAGGGTTCCTCGGCCAAATAAAATTGGGAAACACTGCTATACGCTAACAGCTCCATTTACCAAATCTTGCATTCATCAATTCTATCATCTGTTGCAGAGACCCTGGCATGAATACGAGCACAACTTTCAGATCATGTATAAAGTGGGGATGGGCCATAAGCCTCCTATACCTGAAAGGGTAAGCCCAGAGGGAAAAGACTTCCTTTCTCACTGCCTAGAAAGTGAGCCAAAGATGAGATGGACGGCTAGCCAGCTCCTTGATCATCCGTTTGTCAAGGTATGTCAAGTTGATTTAGTGCCAGAATAGTAGTAGACATGAATGAGAGAGAAATTCATTGAATAAATGTACAAATGTAGGGCATTGTCTCCGGCTTGTGAAAATATTGAGAACAATCTTAAAACACATACACAGAGTTTTCAGGCACTGAAATATCTGAATTAAAAAAATGTTCAGAATCCTGGGAGGAGGCAGATACAGGGATCTTTCTGCCTCCACTGGGTCCCCACTCCCCCTGCTACAAAACTCTGCCCTCCCAGCACTCTGTCCCCATAAAATGTTTAATTATAAATGCTTTATTTTAGATTTAAATAGCATGAATAAAAAAGACCATTTATTTCATAACTATAAACATGTGATGTTAGTTTTAGATATTGCATAATTTCAAAATAAACTGTTTATCAGCATGTGTAAGTAAGGGCTGGGGATAGCAAGTGGACAGGAGAATAATAGAGACATGGGGCGGTATATCTTCACCTGGTCTGAGATTTAAAAAGTGATCTTGGGTGTAAAAAGGTTGGAGACCACTGCTTTAATCTAATTCAAGTAGCATAGTCAGGCTGCTTTTCCCTGGTGGTACTCAATAGTAGCCAGGCATGCGTGAGGTAGGCTGTTTGTCTATCAGAATTAGAGGAATGAAAATGGATCAGTCATGTCAGCAGAGACTTACTCCTGTGGAAGATTTTATTTATAGCTAAGGGTAGGAATAGTATATGGTGGCATTAGCTTATAGCTTATTTCATAGTGTTGATGAGTGTTTAAATGTCATCACTTCTAATAAAGACCTTAATTCACCAAACTGACACTGTTGTTGCAATCTGTACAGATTTGATTAATTTTAATTGCTGATGTGTCCTTTCCCAGGTTTGCACAGATGAAGAATGAAGTTACTCAATACGTGGCCTGTTGTATGTACTCTGGCAAAGTATCTAATCACTACTGTATGTAATATTTACATAAAGACTGTGCTGAGAAACAGTATAAACTTACCATGACTGAAGACTGCACAAGTGACACGCGTCACTTTTACTGCTGCTCCTGTATGTTTTACTTGGCACATGTTGCTCATGTGACAGTGTCTGCAAGTTTAAAGAAGCTGCATGTTTTCAGTGAAAGTGCCATTACTACTGTATATGGACCATTACCTTTTTGTTCTTCTTTCTTGTTTTGTTCTTCTTTCTTTGTTTCTCAGTTAACTGAGAACTGTAATGTTAATATGTAGTATTTTTGAACTTTCTAGGTTCGAAAAAAGTTGTAGTGTTATCAGGCGTTCTGGACCTTGTTTTTTAAAAATCCTGTTTGAGTGCACTGACTGTGAACTGCGACTCTTTTTTTGCCCAGCTTCAGATTTGTTATGCAGAAGGCTGATTTAATGAAATTACAAAGTTTTTTCTCAATAAATGGTTTATTTTAGGAAATGTTTTGTGCAGGTCTGGCTTTACTGTTGACAAATATGTATAACAAACCTAAGCCATTCTAAAAGAGAAAGTGTCCAGCATGAAGGTTGATTTCAGCATTTGTGAGGCAATTTAGTGGGGTCTGCAGTTCTTCTGGGTAAGTTGTCCGGGGACATCACTATACAAGGAAGGGCAGTAGTTAAGGTTTTCACTACTCATGGATTAGTGTTTCAGCTGGCCATACTGAACACAGCTCCAGCTGTGATGTTTTTTGGGCTCTAATTGCATAGATGTTAATACTGCTTTCACAGTGCATGACAAGTGCCCCCTCACAGGATTGTGATACTGTAAAACTGTCCCTAACACAAGTAATAGCTCAAACAAATGATTGGAATGAGTTCTGGTTCTCTGTTTAAGATGCTTCATTAAAAAGATGCCTGTACTACCCTAAGGGCAACAACTGACCCTTGAGAGAGATGTGATAGGAACAACTACATAATGTCTTTGCTATTTTACTGTGCAGGGATTGGTGAAAGCTCATGGTGGAAAAAAATGTGGGTGTTTGTCCTGAATGTGGCACTTCCTTTAGTTCAAGTAGATCCTGGACTTTCTGTAGGCACTCAGAGGTGTATAGTACAATTTTTTTCCCCTCTGTTGCAATTAGAGAAAAAGTACTTTGAATTAAACCTTGTCCCCTCTGAGATCTCAAATTTGGAGACCAGTGGACATTCAGATTAGTGATGCTTTGTACTGCAAGCTGGTGAGTGCCCCAGAGGGTCCCAAGACAGTAGAACTGCCTTCATCACCTCTTAAAAGCTCATTATTCCAACAAATGCTTCAGAGGGGGGTAACTGAGTTAGTCTGTCACAGGAAAAGTCTGTAGAAGACGCCCCTGAGGGCATATAGATCAAAAGGGGGCAGATTAATGTCAATATAAAATATACTAACAGCACCTGCTTTGCACTCAATTTCAGACCATACTGAGCCTAACAGCAATAGTACAAAAAGCAAACACAGGAACAGCTTTATCCTAATACTTAAGTTGTTTCACTATCTCCTGCCAAACAAATAAGAGATGGATTTTAAAAGTAACACGCTCTTGTGTTGAATTACACAGCAGTGCTATATCAATGTCTGTGTGTGCACTACAGGAGTTTCTTTAATCAGCTCTTTTGAGCAGAACTGTATGTAAAAACCAGTTCTGTAACCTATCCCCAATAATAAATTGCAAAAAACCCTCAAGGTTCTGAATTGTCACTGAAATGTAACATGTGCCTTTTAAAATAGCTAGATTGAATCAGATAATTTGGGGAGCTGGTGGAAGCTGAATTCATAAGCTGTCCTAGTGCTTAGAATATCATCTGTAGTGAAGGCTGCAGTGTTCTTCACCAAACAAGGAAGTCAGCTGTTAAAAGCAGAAGTAAACTTGTCAATAGGTCTCAAACAGTTCCTTCCTCCAAGCTATTGCATGGATGGATCAAGTGTGGCTAAATCCATTGTTGAGAGCATGACACACACCCTCCAAAGGGTGAGAATGATAACCGTCGCCTTATAAATTCCCTGCATTGCAAAGACTATTTCTAGTCTCTAAACTTTATTTTTTGGGCATAAACAAACTTGACTAGTTTTAAGGCATACAGTTCAGGGAGGGAGGGAGTAAATACTGATGTCTAACAAGACAATTTTTTAGTACAATAAACCAGACTTTTTATTTTGGCAAGTACCTTTGTACAGGTATTCCAGCATAGCCACAAGAGGTACAATTCTGATTTTAGCAGCAAGGGCAGAATAATCATTTCAATTTATGTGAGGCTCTGGAAGGTCCAATCCTACATTCCTTGTGCATCCAAAATTCCCATTTAATCCAGTGGGACTTATGGGCATACATGAAATGAAAGCGACAAGTGCACTAGCCTAATCTATTGTAAGAATTGATATGTACTAACACACTCCACAATCATGCACATTAAAATAATGACCCTGGGAGACAATATAGGGTGTGCACCTCTGAACTAATACAGGTTTGCTGTTCAGCAAAGACAACCCAACCTCTCTGACCAAATTGTACTTTCATCTGTTGCACACTAGTTTTCCCTTCCTGCCTCTGCTTTCAGAATGACATGGGCCAAGTACAGCTTTAGCAAGCAGTCCCTTTAACCATCAAGCTATGGTTTCTGCACAGCACTGGGTGGAACGTGCCAGCTAGCAGTTTGCCACAGGAGGATAAGAAATGTGCCTGCAGTCTTCAGCAGCAAAGCATTTTACTCCAGGCTCTGTGTATCAAAGGAAACCTCTAGCCATGTGTTCTTCATACAGCTACAATTTCCCTTCATTTCACTAGATAGGGCCTATGCTTGCGCTCCTTCCAGAATCTCTTAGCAGACCCTTTCCCTTATCATTAGCAGTGTAAAAGCCATTTAAGGGCATGAAATCCTCAAGTGTTGCCAATTACATATGCCAGTCAAGTGAGCAAAATCAATCTGGCTCTGAAAAATGCACAGGCTTAAAGGAAAGAATCTGAACTAATGGGTGGTAGTCACTCAAACCCCTTTGTTGCAGCTGCTCCATACTAAGAGCACTACCCATACCTTTGTTACTTAGTAACATTAGTAATCACTTCTCTTTTCAAAGTAACATTTTGAATACAGCAAATACCTATTTCATAGACTTCTTTGCATTGTTATACCTGTTTAACTATCTCACTGTTGAAGGGGTTAGACCACATTCCCATTAGAGGCTCAACTGTACTTTCACTGTAACTGGTCTGTGCCTTGGATACAGGCACTGTGCTTAAATCTATAAAAAGGATAGTGCCATTCAGATTGGTTGCAAAAAAGCTTTTTCATGGAGGAACTTCACAGATTATTAACATCTAAAAACCAGGCTAGCACCAAGGAAGCAGAGCTAGGCTATAAAACACCAAGTCTAGTTTTCCCAAGGGCAAGAGCCTGGAATCACTACAGACCATGGACTTCTTTCACTGGAATCCAGATCAACTCTGTAGGACTCAAACTCAAGGCATGTCCAGAAAAAAAAAATTAACCGCCAAGGAAATAGAGCTTCAAGTTACCTTAAGCTGCAGCCTCTGGGGCTAAGTGTAGTTACTTCTCAGCAGAGACAAAAGCAAATGATTCCTAACTTTGATTTTTGTTGAAGGTCAGAGCTGCTTCTCTTTCCTACCACTGCAGGAAGGCCCATACGTACAAGTATTGTGTAGGCTAAAAAAAAAAAAATCTTTTCCCAAAATGTGAACTGTGTTCAGTCTAGCCAGTGCAAACACCAGCCCACCAATGCTAATACCAAATGGTTAAGTCATTTTAAGGAACCAAGGTGGGAAAGGTACATGTCATTTCTAAACACCACAGCTGTGTTAATACCCACTGGACCAAATTCTGCTACCAGTTACATCACAAAAATTCTGAGCTTGCAGTCTGAGCAGGAGGCATAGTCCCATTCCAGTTAACAGAGGCTTTCAATGTATAAATTAAGACCTAAATGGGAATAGTTCTACTGAAACCTATTTTCTGCAGGGGGGCTTGGTTCAGTTTGATATGTCTCTAACTGAGCACAGTACATTGAAACAACAGATATTATGGGCATTAAATTGATAACATGATTAGCACATACAAAATATCCATTTAAATTTTTGCATTCCATTTAGGCTCCACAGAGTGCCCCATCCCTCCTAGCATGTTGAGAAAAGGATGTTCCCCCCAAGCCAAATGTTATTTCCCATGTGGACTATTTATATCACACTAGATTCTTTCTTCCAAATGGAAGACACTTCATAAGTAAACTAATAAAGGCAAACCTGTTTTGAAGAGGTGAGTCTCAGGAGAACATCTTTCAGCAAGTCTGAAATTTAGCCCCAGCCCCAAGGAACAAATTGGGAGCACAAATTCAGATAAGCAATGGAAGTTGCTCACCCCACCCTTCCACATCCCCTCCCCCTCACTTGAAGGAGCATGATGTGCACGTAAAGAGTATTCAGAAGTTGCATTTGTTCCCTTTGGATGGAAGCAGTCTCTGAAGATGCTACATGTGTTTCGGCTTGTTGTCATTGTTGCCATAGGTAGAGCCCTTGTTAATTTCAGTCACCCCTATCATCCATCGGACACCAACAGAAGCTGCGGAGAGAGAATGAGGGAGGGGACATACATGAAGTGAGACTGCCACCAGAGTAATTACAATTCAAGTCACAAGGAAGAGGTTTAAAAAGGCTAGTGATGATGGACATCAGTATGGTAATACAACAAACAATATTTGCTCTACCTGTAAAGCTTAGCAGTCTGTGGATTACTAACTCTGTTTCACTGATCAGGAACACAGGCCCTGGAAACATGCCATGACTTTCCCGTAGACAGACAACAGAACCCAGCCTTTACAACCACTGGGCATGCTTCATTCCCTAAGCCATGTTACACATTTTTACATATTAGAACACTGCTGCTGATTCTGCAGTAATGAGCACCACAGTTGCTAATGTGCTATAAACTAACCCCAGTTCAGTAATCCAATGGCAGCTTCCGTATTTTGCATTTGAAGGCGCTAGTGTAATACTATGATCCAGGCACCATGTTTTCACTAGAAAGCAATTTTGTTTCATGAAAACAAAGTGAATAGCATTATTTACATGCATTGGAAACCTCACACTCAGACAAGAAGCAATCCGCAGCACAGGGTAACTAACTTAGCTGGGAAAAAACCTAAGGTATTAGCTAACATTGCTCCTGGAATGTGTGGAGTTCTCTGGATAGCCCTTGTAAACTTCTAGCTTATCAAAGGCTGCACTGAAAAAGTTTTTCAGATGTGATCCCTGCATCCAAGGGCTCAGTGCCTGTATTAAGCTTGTCCTTTCAGAGAGAGCTTCCCTCCCCTTTAGGCTTCCAACTCTCAAGTGACACAGGACAAGCCCAAGTCTCAGTAGGGTTGGGAAAAGTTACAGTTGTGTTTTATAGAGCCCAAAGCCAATGGAAGATTTTTGACAGCGTGGGCCTATCATGCTTTGCAGCAGTAATAAAATCAACCAAGAAAAAAATGGAAACTTTCCTCTGTTTAGTGACTTCCCGCTTTAAAAAGTGATTTCCTGTCCTACAACACAACAGGCCTCTCACAGGCATCTGGAATGACAAAGCAAGCCATTTGCTACAGGCACCAGGTCTGCCCCTCTCCTACAACACAGCAACCAGGTGTAAAGAGAAACTCCAACTTCCTGCACGAGTGTAGTGCAAGGGAAACATTGGCAAGGCAGGTTCAGAGATCTTGATCCAGGGTCCTGGAAAAGGCCCATCTGGAAAGATGATGCGATATCCATTACTGCTGCTGGATCCCCTAAGTAGAGGGGAATTTTGTTGTTTGCTTCAGTGAGCTTAAGATCAGAAAACAGGACATGCTGGTCAAACAATTCTCTATGTGGTTTATTATAGGAAGAAGCACGTGTTGATTGACATCTCAAACAGTAGGTCAAAAATAATAAACTGTATTAATAACTTTCTCTCCCCCTCCCCCCGAGCCAAAATGCAAGGATGCCAATTCAGCCCACTCTATGTGGCCATACAAGCCCTCTCCTCCTATTGAAAAAAGAAAAAAAAAACTGGCCTGCTCCTACTGATATCTTGCATGAGGGAATGTGCAAACTCAGGAGTTATGCTTCCACTCACCCTCACCAGCATCCATGCAGCCGTTAGTGCAAATCCCTTTCTCTTGGGATTTGTGCAGTTATTGAGCTGTGTTCTTCTCTGGATGCCTTCCCTCATTAACAAAGACAAATCATTAGCATTAGAAGCTGCCTGTACATCTAATTGTGTCCTCTCATATCAGGATATGAAACTGAGCGCAGGGTTTTTTTGTTTCATTTTTACAACAAACAATAGCCTTAAGCCCATAAGAAGCCTCACTATAAGCAAGAAAAAAAAATTCTCTGAAAAACCCAGCTGGCACCATCAACCTATCCAGAACCAGTGAGCCCAAATCATGCATAATTTCCTGAAGTTTTATGGGTAACCTTAGGGAGCTGAAATGATTCCACTTACTATAGTCACCTTCACCTTGGTCTCTTGAGAGAGAAAGACAGGTATTCACAAACTTTCTTGTGCAGTTTATTAGAAATACATGCTCTCGTGCTCTATTAGGCCCAAGCCAACACCCCTGAAGTCCATCCGTGAGAGACTCCATAACTACTGACAAATAGCTTATGAATTAATGCTTTTTTTGGTATCAATCTGAAGCAAGAAATGGCTCAGTATTAGGAATAGCTCTTTCCTAAAGCTTGGCACATCTCTAACCTGAAAAAATGCAAACAGTAAGATCAAAAACAGCGAGTACCTCCTGTCCACATGACAATCAGGGTTACCCACTCTTTACTGGGGTAATTAAAAATAATCAGTCTCCTTTTTGCTGGAAGTATTCTCTGACTATTTGCTTAAGTATGCAAGACAGGGCCAAAATGGCTCATCTGAAATACAGCCAAATGTAAAATCCTTTTGTATACAGCTGGAACTCACTAACCATGGAATTCAGGGCCATTATATATCCGGCTTCTCTAACAAATGCCAAAAGGTTTGAACAGTTATGGCTGCTCTTATTTTGTGGCGTTTGAAACCTGTTCTGAGGAGGCTAAACTGGCTGGCTAGTTACAAAACCCAACTGCATTTTTAATAAAAGAAAAATTAGAAAGAGCGGGATTACCAAACTACAGAATATTGTGAAAGACACAGGAGAATGTCAAATTTTGCCTACAGGCTCGATTTCTGAAAAGGAGACAAGGAAAAAAAAAAGGCACAATGGGGATTTTTCCAAACCTCTTTAAGAGAGGGATTTATGGAAATAAGCTTGCAAGACACACTCTTTAATGAAGGCATGAAAGGAATAGATCAGACACTACAAGACCTTTACAGCTAACCTCAGTAGTGGCGAAGATGAACACCATTTATTGCAGAGAAAAACAGGAAAATAACTGTCTTTATGGAACTTGTACATGTACAGGTAATTCTGACCTTTTCTTTGAATGCATATTTACTAATTCCTTTCCAGCACAGTTTGATCTTCTAAGAATGAAGCCCCAGATGATCTACCAGAACCTTCAAAACAGGTTTCAACAGCAGAAGGATGTTGTAGTTGCCTTAGTGTCATTCACCTGATCCAACTATGTCTACACTGCATTCTAAACTCAAAACTTAGTGTCATTCATCTGATCCAACACTCTAAACTCAAAATAACAGTTTTGAATTTATTTTAAAATAGGCTGTTTCAAAATTTAGTGCTGTTTGTACAGCACCAAATTTCGAAATAAAGTGCTATTTCGAGACATCCCTTAACCCTCATGGAATGAGGATTACCAGGATGCCGAAACAGCGCACCCGTTATTTTGAAATAATGGGTGGCTTGTATCCTGAAATAGCTATCCCGCGCCTTCACCTTTGGTATCCCGAAATAACTTTGATGTATAGACATACCCTAATACTGTTGGATTCTTTTCCCAGCTGCCTCTCTCCCAATTCACCATGTAACCAAACATCCACTGAATTAATAGAGCAAGTCCCTGCATAATTTGACCAATCTTTAAAACAGATAGAACAGTAAATAATAATACACTTGACCAGAATGTAGAGAGGATCACTGATTTTATGGGATATGTGCTGAGCTGCCTGGATGAAAGGCACTCAATTAGGCCAAAATACAGTAAAAGCTCAATTATCTGGTATATTGGGAGACTGGGTGGTGCTGGTTAATCAGATATTCCAATTAGCTAAGCATTATTATATTTACCAATGGAATGCCTATTTTCAAAGAATTAGAATGCAGGTTGAACCTCTCTAGTCTGGCACCCTGGGGACCTGACCTGGTGCTGAACCACAGAAGGTCATTGTCTAGCAGCATTACCAACACTTCCACTGCTTACTGGGAGGGTAAATTAGAGCTAAATAACAGCACAGAACAGGACTGGTGGCTGTAAAACTTTATGGGACCATGGGAAACTTGGCCACACCCAAGATAAGTGGACATCCAGCTAACTAAAATCATGCCAGACCACAGATGTTGCCTTACCAGACACTGCTGGTCTAGAGAGTCAACCTGTATACTAAAATGCATTGTATTCACCCATCCAGTAGTAGTACTGCACTGCAGAGTGCTGGGTTTCTTGGAGCACTTCAGGTGCATACATGTAACTTTTTTATATAAGTTGTTAATGTTATAACACTACATATCACTATGGGCAGTGCATGGCATACACCCGGATCACTGAAAATACACTTAACACTGAAACTGTACTGAATAGAATTTACTCTTTCTTGGCTGATTCAGAAGGCACTTCAGGGTCTTGCAGTGCCTCAGGGCCATTATCATCCGCATCAATTGTCAACGTAGATGTAGAAGCATAGGAGATTGGTCTGAAGCTGTGATGGCTATGACTACCCCCCAGAAGCTGCTTTTTTGAATAAATCCCTGGTTTCAGTTTCCTTCCTTGTCTTCTGCCTCTGGCATAAAAGCCGAGAACAGAACGTGCAACTGCATAATGTGCCGGGCAGCCCATTAGTCTTGGCTACTAGACTGAAAATTTACATTGGGAGAGACCAGAAATGGTGGTTTATCGTGATTATCTGGTTGATCAAGTGCTGAACAACAGAGCTTTTCTGGAATTTATTTTTCCAATGTGGTATGCAGAGAGTGCGAGGGTAAAATGTTATAGGAGGCAAATCACAAGTGAAGGGCCAGTGCAATGAAATGTCCATTTCCATCCCCTCCTGCTCCCTTTCAGGCAGCTATTGCCCACAGTGAGCTCCATGGTCCTCAGGGATGCTATTTGACTATTTCTGCACAGCAGCACGTGGCAGGGAAGGCAGAAGCTGCCTCGAGGGGGGCTCACTTGTGCGGGGAGGGCCGGCGCTCTGACTGGGAAACGCCTGTAACACAACGAGGACTCTGTTTCCCAGCTCTTGACCATTTCAAGCCAAAATAAATTTTTGCTGGGATAATAACTGATAGAGGTTAGGAATGTCAATGTAGTCAACTATACAATTAACCGATAAGCCTGGGCTTACTGGTTAGTCTTGATTACACATTCTCCCCCCCCCCCCCCCCCCTTTACTGCCTCTATATCAGAGGCAGGAAGGGGGAGTTGGAAAGCAGGAGCCAGTGTTGGGCAAAGCTGGCTTAAAAGCAAGTTCCCGCCAGCACTAGCTCTGTGGTGCCACTTCCCCACCCCTCTATCAGAGACAGTGGGGGGGGAGGAGGGCAGGCAGGGGAGGCTGCCATGAAGCAGTCCCTGTCCATAGGAGGATTGGCAGCCCAAAGGATGCCCAACGCCCCCCAAAGGATAGAAAGGCAGACAATACCTCCAAAGGATACAGAGGGGGCAGTGCAGGGTGTCGGGGGGCTCCCCGGAGAGGAGCCAGATTGCACTGGCTGCTGGCCCCGCTCTGGGGGACTATCGAAGAGTTGTGCAGCCTATAAGAGTTAATGCAGTTACAAGACTATTCAATTACCCACTAACATCCGAATAGAAATTCAAATCACCTCAGTCTTTGGCAACAGTAGAAAAGGAAAGCAACATGCTGCCGTGTAAACAGAACATAGATCAGAGGGATTGTTATGGCAACCAAAGAAACCAAATCCCAGGGCTTACTCGCAGTTTTGGGCACAACGCTGTACATAACCTGGGAAGGCTACTGCAAAATTGAACAAGATGCAATAGAGGGGATCTTGAAGGATAACAACTGGAGAGAAGCGAGATGCTCACACTTGAGTATTAAGAAGTGCTCAAGTCTGAGGTTTATGTAGAGGAGATGGATCCCAAACGCTGCTTGGGGAGCGTGGAGGGAACAGAAAGGAAAAGAAACAACAGCACAGCAATTGAACAGTAGAAGACAATGCTGCCTGGACAAGGGCTTGCGTTTAATCCCAAAAGGGCAGATTCTCTTACAGAAGCCTCCAACCTGAACCACGCAGCAATCTAAGTAAAAGGGTTTTGTCCAAAGACACTATTCACATTTAGGACATAGAAGGCCCAGCCCCAAGAACATTAGTGTGTCCCATTTCCTGACACACACAGCTTTGTTCTCCATCCCCCTCACCCACTATAAAACTATGGTTATGGTGTGAAGGGAGTGCAGTCTCTTATGCTTATTCTGAAGGACTTTTGACTGACTAAGAAATGGAAGGGTGAAGAACTCTTAAAGCCCAATCTGATGAGAACTTGCCAACAACAAATGCAAGGTGGTTTACAGCGTCACAGTTAGCCCTCACCCCATTCTTCTCCCTCAAAAGGACTTGAAACTTCATGGCTATAATAGAGGAAGTTTCTACCTAATCCTATGGAACATCTCATCCCCTCCTCTGAAGCAACTTAATCTTACCATTTTCAGAGACAGATGGGACATGGGACGAGATGGACCTCTGGTCTGATTCAATATGGCAATTTCTTTATTCTGAAGTTTCATTTCACAAACCCCTCCCCCTTTCATCACTATATGTTGATCCCCTGCAACTTGGAGAGACTTTTAAAAAAAAAAAGTGTCTTTTTTTGTGGAACTAGTCACTGGAAATATTATATATTTGTCTGGATGTGCCTGCATTGAGGGGGGAAGATTGCAGAAATTTAATTTAACTCCCCTTCACATCTTATTTCTCAAATTTTCATTTACAGTGACAGCCAAGGATGAAAGTTGCAGCTATGACAGTTCTAAGATATGCTTTCAGTAGACAAAACATGAGCCATAGCAAACAGATTTTAACTTCAATGTGCCGTTCTAAGGAAAGGATTATTTAATAGAGCTGCCAACTACACATACAAATTCACTGTTATATTAAATCTACAAAAAAGTTCCGAGAATGCCACTGGTTTTTGAGAACTCAAAACGACAAGCAAGTTACAACAAAACAGGGTCATGACCCTGTTTTTGTTTTTTAAAGGAAAGAGTCTCAGTACATACCCAATTCATAATTTACAGTATTTAAAAATGTTAATTCCCCCATCAGTTAATTCCTGCAGTTTCCTCAGCATAGCCACCGCTGGAAGCAATAGGACAGTGCATTCTTGGTAGGTATAGGGAAGTTCCATATTTTACAATAAATCTATAAGTCATCTCTCACACAACTGACATGCAACAGCGTATGAACAACAATTTTTGATGAAGATTTCCAATAAGCCTAGTCCTGAATAGTATTAAAAAGTTAACACACATGGAAGTCAGGGAGTTTAAGGACAACTTTTTCAAAGCTGTGTGGCTAAGCTGCATGCACAAACCATGCAGCTGCACATGCAGAAAGGGAAACGACACAGTTTTCAATCTCCTACAAATTAATTGCTTCTGCAACCTCTAGAAGGTTTTCAATTGACTGACAATACATTCTGTCCTCCGTTACACTGGGAGCTACGTCTGTAGAGAGCCACTCCTGTTCCCACTGCAGCCAATGCTAGCAGGTACAGTGACAGTGCTCACAGACATAACAGAAACATACCCAAGCTCATGCAGATTAGGGGATCTCATTATTACTCATGCTATGTTTTGAGCTGTACAATTCTCTTGCCTGTAAAAGATATTCTATGGACTGGATTCATGTCAGAAAGCCCAAATGTTATGTTTTGGGCATTAGATATTTAAGAGCTATTTTTCCGCCCTTAAAACCCAAGAACAATCCTTAAAAAAAAAAAAAAAAAGCTGTCAACAGTCTTTCAATTAAGAAAGTACATTGAGTACAATAAGAATTGTTCTCTTCTATACCAATGGCAGAAATCCAGAACACGACCCAATCCTGTGTTCTGTCTGAAGTCAATAACCACACTGACTTCTTGAGTGGGAGTTCTTCCCATAGAGCTACCAGCCCTTGTTTCTTGTTCTAACTCCATTAGGTAGAACCACCATAGGAATTAAAGCATAAAATTTTCAATAATGCTCAAGTACCGGTAATCTAAGAGCTTAAGTCTCATCAAAAGTCAATGGAACATAGGCTGCTAGGTCAGATGTGAAAATATTATTTAGATGCTTAAGGAACCTAAGTCACTTAGATGCTTGCTTTTTGGGACTGGGAACTGCCATACAGATAATACCCAGATCATCTATTATTTGTGTGTACCATAGTGGGAGGGGATGGTTCAGCATGTATAGTATGAAATTATACCTCACACTTGGGGCTTGAAGAATTCCAGCTGAACTGATGTGGTTAAATACAGGCCAGTTATCTATTGCTCCCATCTACCCAAAATAATTTTAATATTCTATTCTCCTGTAATACTGCTCTAATTTACCCTAGCCTCAGACATTTCTCTGATACAATTCTTTTCCTCATAACACCAAGTTCTGATTACAAGCAAATATCTTTTTTACTCTAAAATATGATTGGTCAGACTGTCTGGAAGAGAAAGAGGGAAGGTTTGAAACAGAACTGAGAATTACAGGCAAGAGAAGCACTTAAATACTTTATCTCGTTCCCCCTCACTGGATGCTTGTTCATATCAGCTGTCTTACCTTGAACCCATAACAGAAAGATGTGACAAACCTGGCTCTGACATTTCTGCTTTGACAGAATGCAGTAAATCTATGATCGGACATTACGGACTCAGGTGGTCTAGAATCAGGAAGCTTATCTGTGAAATATGGGACACAGAACAATCATAAACAAAAATACACCTGTGTATCTAGATCAAAACGTGGCATCCAAAGGGCAGGTTTGTGCGCGCGTGCGCATGCATGGTAGCACAATGGAGGAATGAACTGCATCCGAGGGCTGAATTTTTCCTAGCAATTTTAAACGTCTAGGATAGCAGTAGGTTCTGAACAATGATACGTTGCCTTCAATACATTCCACTAATCCTCACTTATGATAATATAAGCTTCCTTTGGCAGAGAGAGATTAACTCAGCCAGATTCTAGATCTGACTCACATTGCTAATGAAAAAACTTTAAACAACAAATAGTCTAGTAGCACCTTAAAGAATAACAAAACATGCGGATGGTATCATGAGCTTTCGTGGGCACAACCCACTTCAGATGACTGGAGTATTAGAAGTCCAGATCCAAGAATAAATAAGGGAAGGAGGAAGAGGAGGAAAAAAAGAAAAAAGGAGGGGAAGAAAAACAGACAGTGAGTAGATGGTTCAAGTAGTTACAAGAGGCAGATAAGAACAATTAGCATCTCCATTGGTTGGTTAAGTCATTAGGATATGGAAGGCCAGCCGATGTCCCTGTTCATACCATTTGCATATGAATTCAACTTGTAAATGAAGTTAAGTTCCAACCCTTCCCTGTGTATTTGGCTTGTGGAATTGACCTGAATTCATTGCTAATGAAGGTAGGGAGGCTAAGGTTGCGCAAATACAGTATGGAAGTATTACGTGCTGGATCTGTGAAAAACTATTGGGCACATAGGGTCACAACAGTTAAAAATAATTAGTTCCACTGTCTTGTGGCTAGTCAATTTTGGCAACAAAAAGCTAATGACTATTCAGCCATTGCCAAAGATGGGGGCACACAACTACATGATGTTAGGGCTATCTCCATAGAAGCAGCTGTAGCTAATTCATAGTAGAGATTCTCACTACAAAAGAAATGGGATATTTTTCCAAGATTGGTACAAGATGCTTAGCAAAATTAATATTAACAATGGAGGGGGGGGAGGGAAAGAACACAAGTCAGAATAAGGAAAGAATAGGTTAAAGAACATTTAGGTAAATTGGCAGAACCTGATGAAATTCATCTGAGAGTACCTAAGGAACTAGCTAATGCAATTTCAGAACTGTTAGCAGTTATGTTTGAGAACTCCTGGAGGATGGATAATATCCCAGGAACTTCAGAAAAAGCCAACATATTATCTATCTTTAAAAATGGGAACAAAGAGGATCTACATAAACGAGAAGTCCTGTGGCACCTTGTAGACCGGGGTGGGCAAAAGCTTCTTCCCACCCTGTAAGCAGCATGCAGCAGCACTGATTGGCTTGGGGGCAGGAGGAGCGTGCGAAGGAGTATGCAAAGTTTCCTCTGCCCTGTGAGGAGCGTACAGCACTTCAAAGTGCTGTACACCCACACAGGGCAGAGCAGTGCTTCGTACTGCTCCCCTGCCCCCAGGCCAATCAGGACTTGGGGGCGGGGAGCACGTGATGTCTCCTACCGCTCTGTGAGCAGCATGTGGCACTTTGAAGTGCTGTGTGCTCCTTGCAGGGTGGAAGGAGGCTTTGCCCACTCCCCCCGCCCCCAGGCCAATGAGGGTCTGGGGGTGGGGGAGTTGCATAAAGCCCTGTCCGGGCCCTGTGAGGAGCGCATGGCACTTCAGAGTGCCATACACTCCTCATGGGGTGAGAGGAGGCTTCCTGAACGTCCCCCACCCTCAAGCCCATCCGGGTCTGGGGGTGATAGTGTGTGACGCCTCTTCCCACCCTGCCAGGGGCATGGGTACCTAGTGGGGGGGCCCCGCAAAGCGGGTCTGGGGGTAGGGAACAATTATGGTCTGGGGGTTGGGAAGCCCAGAAGCATTCTGCCACCCCTCTGGATTAGGCCCCAATTTTTGATGTGGCCCCTGGCCAAAAATTATTGTCCACCCAGTTATAGACTAACAGATTTATTGAAGCATAAGCTTTTGTGGGAAAAGACCCACTTCGTCAGATGCCTCCAATAAATCTGTCTATAAGGTGCCACAGGACTTCTTGGTGTTTATGCAGATTCAGACCAACACAGCTACCCGTCTGATACTTGTCACCAGAGAGGATCTAGGAATTAGATTAGTTAGCCTAACTTCAACACCTTGAAAAATACCAGAACAAATTATGCACCCAGAGGATAAGAGAGGATAATACAAATATTAGTCAGCATAGATTGGCCACAATGATCTTTTTTTGGACAGGATTACTAGCCTAATAGATGAGGGAAATAACAGACATGATACATCTTGATTTTAATAAAGGCTTTGGCAATTCCACTGGACATCATAAGCAAATCAAAGAAATGTGGCTTAAATGAAATTACTATTAAGTGGGGGCACCACCAGTTGAAAGACCAAACTCAGGAAGTAGTTATTAATGGTTCACTGATAGCATGTATTTCATGGAGGCCTGTCCCATGTCTGGTACGATTCAATACTTTCATTAATGACTAGGATAATGGAGTGGGGAGTATGCTTGTAAAATGTGTGGAGGACATCAAACTGAGGTGGATTGTATGCACATTGGAGAACAGGATTAGAATTCAAAATGACCTTGCAAAATTGAAGGATTGGTCTGAATTTGGTAAGATAAAATTTGATGAAAACAAGTGCACAGTATTTCACTTATGAAGGAAAATTTGAACACACAAAAGTGAAATGGAGAATAACCAGACAGCTGGAAGTATTGCTGACAAGAATCTGGGGATGATTGGGAGGTGGGTATAGTGGATCACAAGTTGAATGAGTCAGCAATGTGAGGCAGTTGTAAAGGCAGCTCATATTACTCTGGATGTCTTAATAACAGTGTCATATGTAAGACCTAGGCGGTAACTGTCGTGCTGTAGTCATCACTGGTGAGGCTGGAGTAGTGTGTCCAGTTTGGAACACCACACTAAGATGTGGACAAATGGGAGTGTGCGCAGAGGAGAGCTTCAACAATGATAAAAATGTAAAAAAACAAAAAATAATAATCTTGTTTAATATTAAGAAAAGCAAACAGGGGAGACATTCTAAACCATCAGATATATTGAAGTCTGTTGAAAAAAAAGTGATTATTCTCCATATTCATTGAAGGTACAGTAAGTAGTTAAATTTCCGTGGCTTCAAAGCTAAGTTAGACACCAAGAAAAGTGTACTAACAGTATAGATGAACACTAGACTAGACTTCCAAGAGAGGTCCCCAACATTTAAAGGTTTTAAAGAACAAGCTAAATAAAAACTTCTCTGGAGGCCAGGTCTACACTAGACCTGGAAGATCGGCTTAAGGTACGCAATTCCAGAAAACGTAGTTGAGTTGGCTTACTTTAGCCAAGGTTGGCACCATTCCCACTGCAGGAGGCCGATAGAAGCAAACACTCATTTTGGCTTCCCTTATTGCTCATGACAGAGAAGTACAGGCACCAGACAAAGCTGCCCTCAGCGTTCTATTTACCGGTCTATATTAGACCCGCTAAATCGGGGTGGAGAAACTTTTTTGGATTGGGGCCACCGACTCTGGGGGAAAAAAAAGTGAATCAGGAACCTCACAAGTGAGAAGCTTTAGGTTCTGTCCCCCTGAACTAAATTGAAAGCGAGAATGCTTTCCATGATGGAGATAAGCGAAGACCTGCCCTGAGGTATGGTCTAGGTTCACTGGGTCCTGCCTCAGCACAGACTAGATGACTCAAGGTTTCTTTCATCACTACATTTCTATGATTCTATGAAGTTAGACCCAAAACAAATAGCTCCAGCCTCATTTATACTTCCTCCACCTTAGGGGAATTTGCTAAGTTTTGGTTTGGTGACATCTTTAAATTTAATACAAAGAATGAAGTGTGGCCCAAAGGCTGCTCATTTTCCTCACAAGAGGTTACACCAAAGTCAGTAGGAACACTCATTTGCCTAGGACACAGCTCTGTAGCAGGAATATCAAGCAAGAGTAAGCAATGAATTATCATTTTCTGATTGTGTGTTACAGCCTCACAACCACCACCAAATGATTTTATCTTCAGCCTCAAAAATGAGAGTCAGGTGAAGAGCACAAGGGAGGGAATTCTCTCTGATACTAATTGCCAATATATTCCATTAATTGGACAGTGCTACGCAGAGCCTTTCAAACTGGTTTAAATGAATTAAAACAATTAAATCCTTTCCTGAAACTCTGGGGTTCTACATAAGTATGAATAAGCTTCTACTTTACCCAATTCAGAATTGCAAGCTCTGAAACAGGATTTTGCTGAGATATTTCCCACTCAAATTTTGCAGACCCCACAAGGCCAGAGAGTTCGGAGAATCAACTTGTGGAGGTTCACCGATTATTGCACCTGCGCCCACATCCACTAACCCAAAATCCAAGTTCTGCCACCTGCACTGGAACAGCACTGCTTCTGGACAGGTTTGTCCACAGGCCAAATTTTAATTCTCCACCCATATTTTTACACAAGCAATAGAACTGTGGCTGTAAGTCTGGAGACCTGTACCTCAATGTAAGCATAAATATGCTCCAGGAAATTACATGTGCAAATTCATTAGGAATGTACACAAATAGGACTTGCCGCCGCCCCACGGGGGCCCCCCCAAAAAGTGCATCTCTGCTCTTTTAGGCTATGTCTACATTGCACGCTAAACTCAAAATAAGATACTCTATTTGTGCTACGCAAATTGCATAGCCTATTTTGAAATAAACTTGAAATAAGCTATTTCGAGAAGTCCCATAACCCTCACGGAACAAGGGTTAGTGGGATTGCAAAATAGCGTGCCCATTAATTCGAAAAATAGGTGGCTTGTGAAAACATGGGGAAGCTATTTCAGGATAGCTCTGATATCCTGAAACAATATCCCGAAATAACTTTGATGCATAGACATACCCTTAAAAAGCTATTCCCTACAACTGATCTTTCAGTTTTCAAGCAACTTACCCACAATGATGACAAATGCAAAACTAGCCAGTGTCAGTGATGATCCACTGCTGACCATGTTGATAAGCAGCTGGAATAAAGGATATAGCAGCAATAAGGCCCAGAAAAGCCAGTTCAAAAGAGTCCAGGGCCTCCGAGGGGGCACTATGGGAGTAGCTGGGTAGGTTCCTGTTCTGTAATAGTCTTCTTGAAAGGCGTCCTGGTTAGAATAAAGAAGCGTAACATTTGAATGCCTACTGGATAATAAAAGCAGCCTCTCAAAAGTCATGTTTCTCTAGCTGAATATTAGTTATTCAGAAAGGAAAATCAAACATCAACTGATGGCTAGAAATCTTGTGCCTTTTTCTTAGCGAAAGCTCATTCTCTGGATTAGTGTTCCCTTCCCTTCCTCGTTTACATTAATCCACATTCCCACGGGTGTGCCGTTTAATGAGCAGCCAGTCTGACCAACATTCAGAGAGGAACATGATACACACAATTGTGTGTACATCCTTACACTGACAGGTATGGCCAACTGTGCCTACAGCAACAGCTAAGTCTGGAGACCTGTACCTTTCGTTACCTGATTGTCCAGCAATGCTATTATCAACCCCCCTGCCCTTCTAATGTAACTAAACAGTTTCCCAAACTTGTGTATGAACTGGAATGTTGAGAGTGCCAGCTGGCCTTGTATGCCAAAGAATGCAATTCCTCAATACCACCCACCTTTTTGCCAATAGACTGAGGCTGCATGTGTAACCCAGATTCACAGAGGGTGCGTCTTCACTCCGTTAGACGCTTTTCCACATAAGAGGTTTGAGTCTCAGCTAATCTTAAGCTAGAAGGTATTTTCCAGTTACCTTAAGTAGGAGAGAGTTGTGCTTGGAGCACTGAAGGTCTTAATTCCAATGATATCTCCTACACCATAAAACAGAGAAGCAGGAGGCCCTCGGCTATTTGCTCAGGTCAAGTTTTACCTGTTCCTACTGAAGTCAAAAGAAAAAAATACCTTCCAATTTGCTTTGTGACAGAGCATCCAGCCCTTGGAATAATGTTTAGGGTGGGGGGGGGGGGGGGGGCAGAGATGTGCTAACATAGTAAGAGAAGAGAAGTCAGAATGAGGCCTTGGCTCCCTATCAAGATACATTCTGTGGTACAGACTTCATTAATAACTCAGCAGCAGCCAGCTACCAAATTGCTTAGGAATGGTCATTTAATTTCTGCTCTTTTACATGTAGTTAAACTCTTATTTACACTAGCAATTCTTCATAATAATTTGAGCAATTACAGCCTATTGCTGATTTTTCTAACTTCAAGTGAACATACAACTTTCCAAATATTATATAACATTTAAGTGTCACACTTGCTTTTTAAGGAGCTTAGAGAAATGTATCGCACTCTTTCTTTTGGAACTAGAATGTACTGGAATCATTAGGGTCTATGAAGTGTCCTTACCCAAACTATGAAATATCCCTTTAAGAGCCTTGAGGGGGGTCTGGCTTATGAGCAGGTTAACCTAAAGTACTAATGATTAGTGGCTTTATGTACTGGCACATATAGTTAAGTTTTTAATTGCCAACATTAGTCAAGAATTCTTAAATTTTTCCTTGCTATTATAAACACCACCACTAAGGGGACTCTGTGCTATCATAGCAATGGCACAGAGGGGTAGCTGTGTTAGTCTGCAATTAAAAAAAAATTTTTTTTTTTAAATGTGGTCCTGTAGCACCTTAGAGATACTGTTTTTTTTAATAGTATCATGGGCACAACACACTTCTTCAGATGAGTCTAGCAAAAGTGAGAAAAACCTAAATTTAAAGCAGGAAAAGGCAGAGGGTGAGGAGAAAAGACCCTGTCCATTATAGTGCCCATGCTAAATGAGGCTAACAGAGTGGGCTGTAAGCGTCCCATACTAAGTTTTTGATTTCACTTGAGTGATTTAATATAACGGCCCATCCTGTTCATGTCTTTGTTCAATCCCACTGAGGTAGTGTCAAATTTACATAGGAGGGTCAGTCCCACAGTCTCATTGGTTGGTTCCTGAAATTACTTAGAATGGCTGCTTTTACATCCATTAATGAGTGCCCAGGTAAGTGTCATTTCGAATGTCAGGAGAGAGCCTGAGCTGAGACTTTGGTCAGCACTGGAACATGCGGTAAAGATTTTAACTTGATCTGAGTCTAATTTGTTATGTTTTAGCCGTAAGAAAACCTATATTTATGGTTTTTCCTCCAGTTTCTTCAAGCAGAAACCAGAAAAGTTCCTTGATATCAGAATTCTCTGCCTTCAGCCTGGGGAGAATATGGATTTTGAGTAAGAGCCCAATTCTGCTCTCATATACACAATAAGAGTCACTGGTAACGGCCGTGAAATCAGTGGGGTAAGTGGTGTGGGAGCAGGGTCAGACCTTAATCTTTTTAAGGATTCCCCTGAGATAGGAAGAATGGGCTGCACGGAGCTGCCCATTTTCTTCCTTCCTACACGTAATGGAATATTAGGGTTTAACACTAACTGGATATAGCCCGCTGTATATTACATAGAAGCAATTATACTGCATACCTACCCTAGTTGGGAACCAAGTACAGGATATTTTTAGACTATTTACTGGCATTGCCTGAACATTAGCCTACAAGTAAAAGATCAATAAGAGATTGGATATTAATACAAAGGCTGTGGCAGGAAGACAGAAGTATGGGAGGAATTGGAAAGCAATAATCACCGTCTTGTTCAGTTCAAGCGTTCTATTGTCCATTGACTAGATATTGCCTTGGGGACAAAGTCCAGAGAAGAAGCTACCACAAGATAGAGTGGTAACAAGTGGCATGTTAGTGATGAGCGAAAGGACCATGTGTGTTTGTCACCTTTTGCCTTATGGTCTTGTGGAAGGTATACAGTAAACAATCTCCATATTTCAGAAATATACCATTTACATCCCCTAAAACTGTGTCTCAGTGCTATGACTTTGGAGATTAGGGGGAGGGGAAGCAGGAGTAGAAGATGGGAAAACCCAAAGACAAAGCTGACAGAATTATGAAATTCTTGAAAGTAACTCATACTAGATTTTCACATTAAGCTGCGTAAGGGACTTGTGGATAAAGTTAAAAAAAAAAAAAAAAAAAAAAAAAAAAGAGAGAGGCTAGAACTTAACCTGTTCAAGAAAAACATCCTTAAATACTCTGAATACAGAAACACAGTAAGTGGCTTTGTATTTTATGGATAGGTTGTGCATAGAACAGGCCTTGGCAGACCCTGCAGCCATCCGAGTATGGAAAGTGTTATATTATTACACATCAGATGATGTCACTAATACATTGCCTGGCTAAGCAGGCTAGACCCACCTTCCTTGCATATACTGACTCCCACTGACTGATATAAGAGGCAATGCTTTGCAGGTCTGTCAGTCACCCAAAACTCCTGTATTTGTCAGCTAGGAAAACCTAGAATCTGAGCAATACTGATCCTCTCAGGATGCAAGAGTCTTATTTAGCAAGACGACACTGACTTAATTTACTAAAATGTCTAAATATTTGTTTTTTTTTTTAATGTAGGTCTCCTATTCAGAACTGTAGCAGAAACAGGTGCTCAGCCCACTCTGCTAAGATTACTTTCATGATAATTAAAAAAAAAAAACCCTCAAATTCACAAGGGAAGGGATTATTGAATTGTTCATCTGCTGTGTATTGAGAAACTGTTAAACATCTTCTCCACAATTCAAAGGCAACTACTATTTTGTATTCCTCTGTTCTCTCAATGAAGGTTGGCTTGCGTTCTTTCTTCTTTGTCACTAAAACTCTGTTGTACTATGCATGAGAACGTAAACTATTTATCACCACCTAATGCCCATAAATTGCTCCAAAGAGTAAACCAACCTTTTCCTGATAGAGTCTGTGAAGCCACTTAGAACATTCCTGTTCATCTTCTGGGACTTCCTCTAATGGAATCCGTCTGCAAACAGTAAAGAAGAGAGAAGAAAAAGTATAAACACACTCATATTGTTTAATGTGGACATTAAAAGTGCAACCTAATTAAAATATTACTTATGTATTATGCCTATTTTTACTTTGTGTTCTACCTTTTGATGTGTAAGAGCCACATACAGTGTTTAGAAATATCTGGAATTAGAAATACACCATAAATATTGCAGCTCAATAAAGTCCTTTTACAATTAGTATGATGGTTTGCATTTTTGTATTTCTAAATAAAACTTTCAAATAGGTTAACTTCCTACCTCACAGATTAAAAGCCTCCCAACATTTTGCTAACCAATTGAGTGCACAGATTGAAAACTTGTTTCTCATTGCAATTAGGGTCAATCATACTTAGTACTTTTGGAACAGCTATTGCCAGTGCTTGAAATGTCTTAAATATAATAAATCAAATGCTTATTTTTAATCAGTATTAATTTATCAGTAAGAAAAAGTAGATCCCTACGAAAAACAGTCATCCCTGGGAACAACAATTATACTAGGACTGGCCTTGAACTTCTAGAAAAGTGCACAGAGCAAACACTAAGCTAAAGCGCCAGTGAAAATTTTAAAATCATCTCTCAAACCATCACCATCAGAAATGCATGCTTGTGTCTTTGGAAAGTTATACCATTTCAAAGCCCCCCAAATTGCAAAACAGCCTTTCAAAGTCCCAGTAATTCACAAGATACCAGATATTACCTAAAAACCTGATTAACATAATTCCTGTTCCCCAAACTAATTCTCCCATTGTGACAACAGCTATAAATAGAAACTAATACTCTTGCACTGTTGACAACTTGGAGAGCAGGATTTCAATGAAAGCAGCAATTCTTTTCTCTGGGATCCATGAGACAGCAGCTGTTAAAGTCATAAGGTAATTTAAGTAGAAAAACAGTTAAGTCATCAGAATCTGAAACATGTAACTTGTCTTATGATGAACAAGACCTTGAAACTGGGCAAAAATGATGCTTTCAGATTATCAAGCTTATCAGTGTTGGTCCTGAAGCAGTGACGGGAAAAGTTTAGAGAGCTCAATCCTGTGATTACTTCAGGATCTATGCAGGAAAGGGAGAAGGAACAGTGGACTAATGAGGGCCATAAACATCAAACCTATGTTCCCAGAGCTACCCTGCAAAGGATTCAGGGCAGGCAGAATGGGGAGAGAAGGGAGGCATGTGTCCTACTTTGAAAGAATCATTGAATACCGGTACCTGTTAGAGCAAGCTACTCACTTATGAGCAATATACGAGCTGGCCACCTGACCACATTTTTTAGGCAGGACATAGGGACTCTAAGATGCACTAATGGGTAGGGTAGCAACTTTCTTCTGCAGTTTTCTTGAGCTTGTAGCTATCTTGATATTTTCTACTGGCACTGCATGGGTACTCATGGACATGTGGCTTCCTATTAGCTTCACATTGTGGCCAGAAACTCAGACTCAGCTGCTTAGAAGCTGCATCTGAATCAGCACATTTCCCAAACTGGCACTTTTGAGAGCAGTGCAGCCTTGTCAGCTGTATGCTTTTTGGTCTATTAGGGATTACAGCACTATACTTCCATGCCTAGCAGACTAACCACAGTGGTCTGCCGCCTGTGTTCTGCTGGTGGAACCTAACCTGTGAATCAGGACCTAGACCTTGTCACGCCTCTGCCGAGCAAAAGCAGATCATGGAACTTTGCTGGTTGGTAGTGAAATCAGGGACATGAGGTCTAGGTATTTTAGTGTAGCTTGTTTTATTTGCACTATATGTACACACACACCAGTACCTACACAGAGGTGGTCACAAAACAGGCAAACCTCCTTTTGGGAGCTCATCCAAAATGACAGTGGCATGACCCGATAGCAACTCCAACTAGACAATTCTTGGGGCACAGAGACTAAGCCAATGTGCGAACTCTTGCACGGCTTACAACAGCTCCCCCAAAATTAAAGTTCATCACAAGATGAAAAGTCCAGCAAAGACTAAACTATTCTAAGAAAAGGAACACTTGAAACAGGGCTCGCTGGAGACTCCTACCATGACTATATAGTGACACAAATTGAAAACATACAGCTATAAAATAAAAGTTCACCAGAGCTCCTTTGAAGAAAGCTTGACACCAATTTGTTCTAATTTACCTGCAAGAAAAAACATTTCCCTGCTTGTCAGCGAAGTGCACACCCCTGAATACTGAAAAATGTGAGCATAAATCACTTGCCTTACATATAAATCTGCATGGTATTTCTTTCCATTTAAAACTCCCAGCAAAGTTGGATTCTCGTTATTTCTAAAATTGAGCGTAGAATCATACACTGCTGAAACTACAAGAAAAAGAGCTATTTTACTGTTTGTAATATAAATTTTCTAAGTTTTAGGGTCTTCCACTTATATTTAAGTGATATTTAAGATGCATTTGGAAAGATATTTTATGAGCAATTTCAATTGGCCATAGTCACACTCTCTCAGATAGTGGTTATATTTAAACATAACACTCCAGCAGCAGCGAAAGAGTTAAAGTTGTAAGCAAAGTCAAAATTACACGGACAGTTCAAATACATATTAGTAGAAGCAGAACAGCTAAGCAATTTTTCCACCCAAGACCAATACAAATGAAATTTAGTTTTAAAATGGCTCACATATTATGAGTAAGGGAGAAAGAAAGAAGAAAGAAGAAACTAGAGGTGAGTACTACAAGAATGAGTGCATACCCAAGCAAATTGAATGGTAAATTTCAAACTGAAAATGCAAAAATGTATTTTCTTTCAAGTGAATACTTAACTTAGTGAAGTCACTGCTACAAGATAGTGAGGTCAAAAGCGTAAAAGAGTTTAAAAATGAATCTGTCAGTTAAGTGACCAACATTCATAGTTCATCTAGAAAGCATAAAAGTTTTTGGGATATAAATACACTTGCTTTATGTTACAAAAGGGTGACCAACTATTTGAGGTTAGGAACAAACTTTCCCCACAAAATATTACTGCCTGCATTATGAGGATCTTTAAGCCTCTTCTAAAGCATTATCTACAAGCTGTTGTCAGAAACAGTCTGCCAATTAAGACTAACTATGGGCTAATCTCATCTGGCAATTCCTATATAGGCACATGATTAAAATGAGAATAACTGGGATATACATTTCACAGGACTAAACTGCTGCCAAACTCTCAACCACTAGAGAATAAACTTTCTGTAATTCAGCAGATGGTCTGAATATTTCCCAGTAATAACAACATTTTTTAAAAGTATCTTCTTAACTCATTAAAATGGAATGCAGTGGTACAGAGAGCGAGCGCATGTGCACACAGGAATGATTTATAGAGAGTGCTTTTTTACATTTTATTTTTAAAGAGTGATAGACGTCATAAGCCCAGGGCTAAATACAGTAGAAACTCAGATTTACAGACAGTTACAAAAAAATTGACAATGTAAGAAAACGGTTTCTCTGCTTGTGTCATTTAACATGGTTAAAAACAGCATTTTTTTCTGCATAGTGAAGTTTTAAAGCTGAATTAAATTGGTAATCAGCTTTAGAAAGAAGCATGAGGTTTCATTTAGAGTTACGAACCACCGCTATTTCTGAGATTTTACGTGAGTTATCTTTTAGCATTATTTCTCTGCCAGGGCATAGAATTGGCCAACAGCAGTTGGTTCTTCAGATCTGATCTACTTCCATTTGAAAAGAGGGTAGGTCCAAAAGGACAAGGGAACCATGTGTGTATATCAGGCTAGTGTGGGATAGATTTACATCCTACTGTGTCACAAATTAAGTGCCCATGTGGACAAGCCCTACATCTATTAATATTCTCACCTCTTCTGAAAAACATGCTAAGAAAGGACTTTGCACGGTATAGAATTTTTCCTGGAATTGTGGGGTCAGATATCCTGTATGAACTGATATTATGGCAAAAAGCCTGCTTAGCAAGTCCAAACAACATAGCCTAGTTCTCCTCCCATTTATCCCTGTCCCTATATAAATCCAGAGTGATTCCACACCACTCAGGAGGAGTAAAACTGGTTGAGAGAAAAGAACTGGGCTTATTGTATCTAAGAAGTCTGGTTTAATTTTTTACAATTTAGCACAGTAGTACTGCAGGGCACAGTTCTGCAACAACCAGCTACCATATACAGACAATTTAGATCCCATTCTGAAATCCAACCCAGCCCTAGTTTTAAATGTTCATTTTCAGAAGGTGTTTTCACCTGATAATTATTGGGGGGAAACCCCAAACATAAAACCTTCTCTGAAATACATTCCTAGCTGGGTGTACGCACAATAAAGATAGGAGATGGTGAAAAGATGGATCCTTTCTGTTTTAAAAGCATCTTGGGATAAAAACCACTTACTAAGCCCCACGTTACATCTTTAAGAATAAAAATAGTGGTAACAAAACTGTTTAATGCTACTTGTGCAATTAGGAGTTTGTTAATTACAGAGCAGCACAGAAACCATAAAACCAGAATTGACACAGCATTCATTCTGTTGTCTTAGCCTACACACAGAACAGCTAGAGGGTCGTCTCAGAGGAAAGAAAACAGATTCCTTTTCAGTCTGACTAACCTAGATGACGACTGTCTGTCCTGAGGGGAATACTTATTAAGGATATAAAATCATTTGTTGCATTCACAACACTGCCTTTCACAACACTGCCAAACAAGACATAATTAACATTGTACTTTGAATTAATGTTGTGCTATCAGGAGGTGAAGATGGGGTCCCTCACTTTGACACTAACTGAGGTTCTCTGAGATGCAAGTGCCTCTGAGTGCTCTACTTTAGGCGATCACGCGCCCTTCACCTCTAATTGGAGAATTTTGTCCCCGTCTCCTGCCAGTACCTGCAGTTAACAATGCTATGTGCCACCCCCAGCCCAGTTCCTGGTCTACCACAGAGGAATAGATTAGAATTCCAGAGTAGAGGGGTAGAGGAGCACAGTCAGGGACTCATCTCAAAGAATGTCAGTGACTGTGCAAGGCTGTGAGAACCTAAACGCTCTTCTTTAAGTGGCATCCCGGTGAGTGCCCCACTTTAGGTGACGGTAGAGCAGTGCCCCTCAGAGGAACGGGAGGGACTTCACAGAATTAGGTCCGAATGGACAGTCAGACCCACACATCCCAGCTAAGACCTGATTCATGAGCGAATACTGAATGAACATGCGAGAAGTTCAAGTAGCTGCACATCAGGAAGGTAACGGATATGGCTACACATCTTGTGGTGTAGGTCTGAACCTGCAAGGGGGGTTGCAGGTCATGTTGCTGGTAAAAAAGCCGAAAGCAGTCTGAACACAGAACCTCAGAAGCACTTACTGCAGAATTTCTACTGGGCTGAGGTTTCTGAGGCAGTTCAAAAACACTACAGGTCCTGTGACCCATGCCAGAGGGTAAGGAAGGGCAAGCAGAAGGGTATGGCTGTCCTGATCTCTATTCCCCTCATGGAGGAACCCTTTAAGAGTGTGGTCATGAACATCAGGGGAGTCCCTTAGGAAAGTTATCCAGATGCAGAAATATTATATTCTGGCAGTAGTAGTTTATGCTATTCACTATCCAGACATAGTTGCTCTGTCCTGTGTAAAAGCAAACAAAATGACCATGATATGTAGCCAGGCAGGGGTTCCTCTTATGGTTTTGACTGATCAGGGCTATGGAGAGAAGTGTGGGTTTCAGAGCTTTTGGTCACCTTTCTGCCACCCCAGATTAACAAGCTGTTTGAGAGATTCAATGGAACTATTAAACGGTGAAATTGTTTGTAGGCCAACACCAGGGACTCAGTTAAATGTCAGCTTTAGCTGCTGTCTGCCTATCAGGACGTTCCCCAGGAATCCACAGGACTGTCCCCTTTTGAACTGCTCTCTGTATGGGAGGAGCGTACAGGGCTCTAATGAGGGAGGAAGAGAAAGCATGGCCTTTCCCGACATGGAGTCCATGATGAAGTATGTGTTGGCCTTTCAGGAAACACTCACAGAGTGCATGCATTTCACCCAGGAAAATCTCACTAATGCTCAGGACTGACAAAGTCTGATATGATCTCACTGCACAAGTTTGGGCACATGGTACAGATGAGCAAATTACGGCTCTCATTTCAATGCATAGGCATAAACTCCAACCTGCCTCGGAACAGCTGTTTAAAAATCAAACACCTTATGAAGGTAAACCATGTGGCTGAACTATTTACTTTGTCACATCAAGTGTCTATGTAAACATGACAAAGCTCTATTACTTTGTCAGAGAGGTGGTGTGAGCTCATTTTGCATGTGAGCAAGAAACTGCTTTCCTGGGGGAAAATACTGTGCGATAGCAGAAAAAGAACATCTGGCAACGTTCTCACAAATTGCAAGACCTATCATTTTTGATGCTGTGAATACAGATCATTCACCTGGATGCATCAAATAAAAAGACTAGCTGCTAAAAATGGAGCCCAGCAGCCCAAGGGGATGATATGGAAATGTGCCATGTTAGAGAAAATGCAAAATGTGGCCACTAATGCTCTGTTCAGGAAACAAGTCAGTGGGTCCCTGTGGTGTACTGGGCAGCCACCCTTGCTAACATCCACTGGTTTAAGGGGAAGATGGAATAGAGGTGAGACTGGGAAGTACAAGTGTTTCAAACAGCTATATTTAAAGGTGCCTGACAAACATGGATTTTGGGGACAATAAGCAGGTTTTCTGCCCAGCCTTTTGAAGCTATGCCTTTAGGACAGGGACACTGACTAGTGATTACCTGTACCTGAGTTCGGAATTCTGCCTCTGAATTCTGCTGTACTGTCCTAATCTGTTAGAAACAGATTAATGGGGATTCCAGTTCAGGTTGTTGGTTTTTTTTTTTGTTGTTGTTTTTAAACACACACTCACTCACTCACTCACTCACTCACTCACTCACTCACTCAGAAAAGAGAACATGGCAGGATGTCAGCAGAAGACCAAAATGATCATTTAGAATTTGCTCTGTGTGACTGTCCTTACCTACATTTCTCAAACACTGCACGGTGATAGCAAATCCCTTCGTCCGGGGTAGCAGATGATACTTGAGCTTAGGCAGGCCTTTTGTTTCAGCCACCTGCATGCTGATTTGGTGCTTCTGTTCCGTGAATCTTGTGCCTTCACAGTGTATCAAGAACTGAAAGCAAGGCAAGGCTGTAGTCAGAAAACCAGCTCACACATAGATCACAAAACAAAAATGTTCACTATTTGGTTTTTTTTAAAACCAATGATGGGCAGGAAAGGGTCGGTGGGCTAGATCCAGCCTGCCAAGCCATTTAATCTGGCTCCCGGCTGCCCTGCTGCTCCTCTGCCCCCAAGCCAATTGAGATCTGGGGATGGGCGAGCGTCCTCCCGCCCATCAAAATGGCTCTGGGGTAGTAGAATATTGCCTGTCACCCCATGCTGTTGCCTCTGATATAGGGGTGACAGCAGCCTGTCCAGGGAGGCAGAGGTGTCTGAGCTTCTGGACCTGGCGTGAGCTGGAACTGACCTGGGCTACCTGCCTGCCTACCTCCCAATAATACTTCAAATGCAGAGCCACAGCCAGGACTGAGACACTGCCAGGACTGAGACAGGTTGCTGGCCAGCCTGCTAAAAATGTACTGATGGGGGAGGACATGCATAGTCTATAGCATTAACCTGTAAGCTTTTTGCTTATTGGTTAATTGACTACACTATTACATTCCTAGTTCAGAGGCGTATGGGGTTTGCTGAACTGATCGAATCCCAAGATAAATAATTTCCATCTACACATTATCCCTATTTGTTGCTTTAGCATTCCTGATGTTGTCTTTGATAGAAAGTTAGTGAAAGAAAGGTACTGCCTCTGAAATTCAACTTCTAATTTGTTCTGTAACTTTTCTGTGAAGTTAATGAAACAAACCAAATTCACAGTACTGACCCTATGAAGGCCTGTTGCGCTTACATTCTGTGCCTCAAAAAACAGTGCCCTCAACTCCATGACCCTGTCACCACTCACCCAAAAATTTTCAGGATAATCCCGGAGATTGAGCAAGCTCTGCATGACAGTTTTCCGATCCTCCTCCCATTTCCGCTTGCAGAAGACTATCTCTAGGAAATACCACATCCAACCAATGATAGGCACATAAGAAAGCTCCTTTTTCGCAAGTACTTTGGAACTCTGCAAGAAAGAGAGTAAAGAAAAGCATTTACATAGATTTATTTATTTATTTTTTTTACACAAGAAACGGTTCATTGAATTTTATGGGTACATGAGACAAAGGTCCAGATGCCAATATACTATTCAGTGAGAGTCAGTGTCTTACAAACTATGAAGTACCATTGGTTTGAACAATCAAAAAGTTCTCCTCAATATCACATAGGGGGCACAATCTAGCCTCAACTCTATGTGTAAAAGGAATTTACAGACTATTTTTAAAACCAACATAAGCTAACTTATTTTGGAAGGGGATGAACTCATGCAAGGGGACAGGCTGCCAGCCACAAAGAATTAAATTCTTAATTTATCCAAAGGATCACTACAGTGGCAGCACAAGTTCCCTAATGGTAGTGAGGGGCAACCTAGGCTAACAAGTGAGCCACACACGTGTCCCTCCTTCATATCAGTGGTCTGCAAGGCTGTCGTAACCAAGATGCTCTCCCAGGATAGGGCAATTTTAATATCTGTGCTTGCATATCTAAAATTGCAGGGTGTGCCAACTGACCCTTGGCAGTGCTTTGATTGGATGCAAAGGGAACTCATGGCTTTCATTGTCAATGTGGTGTGCAGTCAGCCTGCACCTCACTTTACATGCCTTGCTTCAAGTGTGTCACTTATGTAACACCAACAGGAAGAAACTACATGGACGACAAGCAGAATCTGGCAACCCTATGCATGGGAAATGGTAAACCGATTTCCAGAACCCCATTAAGCCACATGCAGCCCCGGGACTGTAGGTCGCCAATATCCTGCCATCCTGAGCTAACAGGATTAAATAGCAAGTGAAAAAGTGATTTTGCATATCTTTTTACTGAATCTGAACCATCTATTTAATTTTTAGCTGTCTGCAACTTACAGAATTCGTAGGGGAAAAAGTATTAGCTCCGTTTTATAGATGGGGTACAAGAGAGCTGCAAGTCCAAAGTCACACAGGTGGTCTATCTTGTAGTCAGTCATAATATCCTCAGTCCAGGACTATCTGCAAGACTATCTTCCCTCTCGCAAAACAACCTTTCCAAGATGTGTTTTATTGTTCCCTTCCTCCTCCCTAACCAGTTCAACTGTAAATTGTCTTTCAGATTGTTTTGTTACCCAATGGTCAGAATAAAGAATAAAGCTGCAAACGATGTGTGAAATGTTACTTCAGTGCTTATCTGAAAAAGGCTGAACAGTATAGGGTATAAGCAGCAATAACGATCCACTGTGCATTTGTTCTATCATTGTAAAGCGCCATTGCCTGGACATCAGATTTGACTTGCGACAATGGGTGAACATGGACATAAAGAATATTAGATACACATTTTCTTTTGCCATAATGATGAAGTGAGTCAATGTAGTTCTTGTCTTCTCACATCTTTTCTGCTCTCCTCTTAGAAAATTTCTGTAAATAATTAAGCTACCTACAAAACTCGTGAGAATACGAATAAAGCTAAGTTATGTACTAGGGATGTAAGCGACTAGTTGACTGATAGTTGTCTAGTTGCTTCCCCCCCCCCCCCCCCCCCCCGCG